AATGTAGTATTTCCAAAACTACAGTGCAATTTGATGTGGTACTAGGAAGAAAAAACTCCTATAATCAAGAAAGATTGGGAAATGCTGGATCAAGTATGTTTCAATTTAAGTTTAAAACTTCTCAAAGCCTTTAACATGTCAATGTGCTTTGGACTCTGAAAGGGGGATATACTACACAGCTTTTGCCAAACTTGTATTCAACTAATATTCAGTACAGTCCACTATGTGCTAGGCACAGTGCTAGGTCATGGGAATACAATACTGAGCCAAATAGATCTGCTCTCTGCTCCTAAGTAGTTTATGCTCATTGTGGGCCCCAAATACCACACAAATATTTATTATAAACACAGTAAGTGATACAAATGAAAAGTTCTCCAGTGTTTTCCAAGCATTAACATGAAAGAGATTACCTCTTCCACTCAACATAAAAGACTGAAACCCAAACAGTTCTCTTGAAGCTTTTCATGAGCATGGTTCTAATTGTCTACCTTAGTCTGAAGAAACCTGCTCGTTGGTCTAATATATTTCCCTTGCTAAAAATGTGTTACATTTTCAGATGCAAAGTCCAGAGGCAAAAGCAAGACAAACCACTCATTTATGAAAAGGTCAGGAGTAATAAATACCTCCAGATGCTTGACGAGAATAGCTCCCACTTCAGGGGCTGCTGAAATTACAGTGATGTTGAAACATAAGGTATGTACTGTGGTCTATGCTGCCCCTAAAATGAATATGGACTGACGCAAGGATCTGATCCACAGTGGTTCCTACTGAAAGTAGCAGATTTGAGTAAGCAAGTTGTCTTCAGCAATGCAAACCCGAACCAACTGCACTTGGTATATTGATTTCTAAATGACAAGGTTCTTATTTTTACAGATACGGTATTTTTAACAGGAAAATACAATGATGTTAAAGTGTCATTAAACACTCTTAATTTTTTCTTCTTTTTATGCACATTTGCAAAACACCAAGTAAGTGCTAGACATGCCACAAAGACTCAGAGAAAACAGAGGAAACAGTCTGGCTGTGTTGGATTTACCCTTGTGCTGAGGGGGTGGGGTAGGGTGGGACGGGGGCAGCAGGGAAACCAGAGGAGAAGCCAAATTAATCACCTTCAGAAGAAACCAACTGGTATGTCAAAGCACACTGCCATTTCCAATCTTCAGGTCTGTCTTCACCTCACTGGTCATTCCAGAATATTATCAGTTAACAAAAAGTAAGTATTTAAGGACCTAAATACTTAATGAACCTCCTACTGACCTAAAAATTGAGCCCTTTTTCACTATACGGTTTCTACACATGGTGGGGCAAAAGTGGGTTTCCAGGTTGTTCATATGGAAAATAACACAAGTTAATAACACAAGAACAAACTGTTTCAAATACTCAACTGTGAACCTACTTTTGCCCCACCCTGTGCTATATGCCACAATATTACACTTGCTAATTAAGTGTGAATAATCAAATTCATAATTAATGTTTGAGAGAATCTAAAGGATTCTTTTGTCAGAAAGTTATACTGTAAGTCAAATTCTGTAATTACAAAGTGTCATTTAATCCCAAATTGTCTGAAAAGAGGCACGTCTCTCTTCTCTCCTTCCCAGCACCCCAAGGGTAATCCTTAACGTTTTCAGACCGGGAAGTGATTGTATTAAGACAACACTTAAGGGGATGCGAGAACTCGAAACAGGTAAGTATGCTGACTGGTCCCATCCTAGCGATGAACTGTGAATGGGACTGACGACTGAAGGGGCCATGGTTCTGCCACCCAGAGCCGCCTTTTGGGATATTGACTTTGAGCTGATTACTAAGAAACACGTCTCAGAAATGCCCTTTCACTGTCCCCCCGTTTCCTGCCTGAAAGATTCAGGTAGAAAAACCTGCTTCAGGAAGGGAACCTTAGCATAACTACCTCAAGCATTAGACAGGAGGGATCCAAGCAGGTGCCTGTTTACCAGATGCCCCGCTGTGTTGCCCAATTCCTGGGTGGCCAAGCAAAAGTCTGTCTGCCAGGTACGGTCCCCTCTACCTCAACTACCTGCCAATCACCTTCTTCCTTCCAAACCTCAGACTCCGCCCTTTCTTCTTTGTCCCAGGCGACATATACACCCAGTGTTGCCTCACTCTTTGGAGTTTTCATGCTTATGTGAATTTCCTGTGCACACGTATTACAATTCTGGTTTTCTCCTATTAACCAGTCTGTGTTGATTTGAATAGCCCAGCTAGTAGAACTTAGAAAGTGGAAGGAAAAGTATTACCTTTTTAGCCCCCATGCTATAAATATTGTCACACTTGATTTTTTCCCCTGTCACACCCCAAGATTCTACACTCCTGCTTCAACCATGTTGGCACATTTAACAGGAAACCCAACTCACCTCAGACCTAAATATCAATAGTATGGTAAGTAAAAAGTGAGACTCATCCTTTGGCATGACCCACATAACCCTTTAATTTTTTTGAAAATTTAGAGAAAAATTTACCTCATATCAAAGCCCTTAAAAAAATAAACATACTCCAGAAAAATAACCATTAAAAGTTACCATCACTCAATATCGGATCTTGTATATTGTTTTACCAATCCCTATCTAGTTCCCAGTGACTGGGGGCGGGGGAGGGGAATAAACGTAACAGGACTAGTCCATTCACAGGGTCACTTCAGACTGACTGGAAGACATCTATGTATCACCATACTGTAAAGACTGGTAGGTCAATTTTATTCAGTTAGGGTCAGGCAACTTTGGGTCACTAGATAAATGAGGTGTTTATCAATTCAACTCTATCCATGGTTAGAACTAAAATCACCTAAAGGCAAAACACTATGAAAGAAAGCAATTATTTATTTAGTCTAAACTTATTCTTGCCTGGTTAACAATGCCAATAATTTTAAAACACATTTCACTTTCCCAGAGAGGTGGTCATTACCAAGGATGTGTTAAGAATACAGAGATCCGCGGCCATCTCCAACTTTCTTTTCTATGTTCTCTTTTATCCCTCATAGCTTCTCTCTCTCTCTAAATCCTCCCTGGAGGACATGCTTACTGATTTTAGAGAGAGGGAAGGGAAGGAGGGAGAAAGGGAAACATCAATGTGAGAGAGCAACATGGATTGGCTGCCTCTCGCATGCACCCTGACCAGATGGAACCCACAACCTAGCTAGGCTTGGGCCCTGATCAGAAGTCGAACCCACAACCCTTTGGAATAAGCCAACACTCCAACCAACCGAGCCACACTGGCTAGGCCTTTTTTTTTAATCCTCACCTGAGGATATATTTATTGATTCCAGAGAGAGAGAGAAACATCGATGTGAAACATCCATCAGTTGCCTCCTGCAGACACCCTGACTGGGGACTGAACCCACAAATTAGGCATGTGCCCTGACCAGGAATCGAACCTGTGAGCTTTTGGTTTAGGGGACGACGCTCTAACCAAATGAGCCACACTGGCCAGGGCCATAGCTTTTATTTCTTAGAGAAACTTTTATGACTGGTATGAGACTAAGGAAATTTCAGTGAGTTCCCCAATAGGTTTATATGAATTTCATTTCTAATTTCTGTAAATAAAGACAAACAGAAAATTTGTTTAATTTTTTAATAAACCATAAAATTTAAATATTCAAATAAAAAGAAACAAAAATAGATATTTAAGCCAGCACTAATTTGTTTCTATTCTCCCTCTAGGTATCAAGAGGCCTGACTGACCTAGAGACCTGGGACTAGAGAAGTCGAGTTATGACACTGGTATAATAACGAACAAGTAAGTGAAAATAGGCAATGGCCTGATAAAGACTTTCAAATCTGGAAGTAAAGATCATTAGAAGCTCATGTGAGCCGACTGCAGAAATCCTGTAAGGGTCTTATCTGTGGAAAAGTACTTCTCGCTGTTCTCACCACACTATCTTCTGCACAGCTTAGCACTCCCTGGCATTTCGATCCTCTCGCTCACTGAAGCTCACTTCAGTCTGTCAAAACACCAAGGGGAAAATCCCCAAACTGAATAGACGGATAAACACTTTTAATGTGAACAATCATATTCAGATGAACCTCTTTTGAAAAAAATACTAGTCAGTGGGTTTTTTATCCTTAAGTAACTCAAATATCATTTCTTCTGCCTGCACTAAAGTGGCATTTTCACTGTATTGATGTTAGCCAGTTATTGGCCACTTGCTCCCACTTTCTGCTGATCACATTGGTGCCCATTTTTCTATTTGATCGAGCCATATACCTTCCACTCCAGAATATTTGATCTTTGATAAACTTTATCTCATTTTGTGAACAAGTCTGCTATTAATCACTGAAGGAAAAAAGGAAGCAGTGAGCACCAGCAAGATCTCACTTCAATATTCACAATTTTTATAAGAAAGACATTCATTTTTATTGTGCAATCTAACATCACTATTGTGTGATACTGTGTCTTTTAGCATACCCCAGTGGGTTGACATTCAATAGGGACAGCAAGCTAGTGCAGGAGAAACGGAGCATAATGCACAGATACTTTCAGCTGGCGGAATTCCAGCAGTGTAGTAATCAAGTGCAGCAAAATTTTCCTCATAGTGAGTAAGAACTCAGTAACTTCTGAGTATTTTTGGTAGAATTAAGGAAAAGCTACTGCAGTCAGATCGGTAATCTTTAGACTGTTTTAGACTGGCTGCCAGGTCTTTTTTAGACCTGAAACCAATGAAAGACACTAGTCTGGAAAGGGATCAGTTTTTCCAAAAATGTGAAAGTACCCTATATGGATGCTGAGTATGCTATGATCCGACAGGTTCACAGTGGTAAACAGCAGCAAAGGTAAATGGTAACATTATCTATACCTTCAGCATATAAAGAACACAGATTGAAAAATCGGCAGCTAGAAATCCTACGACAGCTCCTGAGACAAGTTATTCTATGCCCCACAGTCATTCCATGCCAATGAGGACCAGTCTGAATGGTAACACGTAAGAGTAAAAACAGTGATTTACTGTATGCACGTCAGAAAGCACTGAAAAAGTGACAAAATGGATGTTATTAAATGACAAAACATATTTTGAAGCTTTATTTAAAAATCTCTCACTGTTCATTATCAAAGTTACAAGATTGTTTGCATACCAATAGACAGACTGTAAACATAGGAAATTTTCATTAAGGAAAGATGGGTTTACTGTAATTTGATCTTTTACAAAAATTGCTGCAAGTTATTGATAACAGAATTTCTCTTTTACTTTCTTAAGTCTAATTCTCTTGAAAATTAAACCAATGTTTCCACTCCCTAGAGCTAAAGTTCAACCATGGTCACCTTAGGAAATACCCCTGTTTATTTGTTAATCAGAAATACAAATTGAGTGGCACATATTTCCATTTTCTTCTTAGGCCAAAGGTTTCGGCTTCATTACATGTTACAAGAAAACAGCAGACCTGCAGGGGTCCTGTAAAGTCTTTCATGTCGGAGCTGAGGTTGAATGACGGCAGTGGAGGGAAGCAGTGGTGATGCACAGTAAGACCAGCCCGGGTGCCCTTATCAGACAGGGAATCTTTTTCCTGTTTGGCTCGAAGCGGTGTTTCTGGTCAGGCTGCCCCCGCCGAGCCTGCCCGAAGCAGAAGGGTGACATGCTCTGGTACATCCTGCTGAGAGGTGATTCCATCCCAGCCAACAGCCGGTCCTTCAATCTGTTGGCTGCGGGATGATGCTGATATGAAGAAAATTATCTGGATAGCTCAGATGTTCACTCAGCCACTGGAGAGGCGTTTCCAACATCGGCTCAATTCCATGAATCAACACTTGGTTCTGTTTTTCCCCATCTATTCCAAGAAAGAAATCCAATAATCATCAATGTGACTCAAAATAGCTGAAGAAAAAATAATCTGCCTTTTGATAATCCTTAGTGAATTAGATTTACAGCTTCAATGGGTTAAACCTGGTCTGTCTCCTGAGCAGGAAATGTGGACATGCATGGAGAAAGTTCAAATGTTGCAATATGTATCACCCAAAACAGAAACCTGAGGGTTACAATGAATTCTGACAAAAATTCTGTTGCTATATGTGAAAGTATTCATTCTTTCTTAATTACTGTGCTTACCTAAGATTGACGTTAATGAAACTATAGTGGAGAAAACAGCCCGTTGTACCCGCTGACCAAAATTTATTTTAGTTATACATTAAAAACTGTACTATATGGCTGGCAATTTGAAATGATGGGCACATGAAGTAGGTCAACACATACTTAAAATAAATAAACTAGATATGTGAGTAGAAACCATCAAGAATAAGATCTGTATTTAGGCAAATGTTTAATAAAACAGATGGGAGCTGTAGGTTAATTTTCAGTCAAGTTTTAGAGACATTACTGAATAAGAGTTCAAGTTTTAATGAGAAGGAACTAAGAGTCTGACTCAGGGATTTCAGTTTTAGAGTCATGAAACCTGATTGATTTTTGTTAATACCCATTTGCTAATTAAAAGGGTGCTGCAATTCATACTTCTTTTAAATTCAAACTTTATTACAAATTAAAGGTTAATTTTACATCTTTTATGATTTTGGTATGATATGCTGATGATCTTTAATGTAAACAGAAACACCTAGGAAAAGAAAGGAAAACCAAACTCCTCTTTTGTAGGAAAACAAAGAACCTTCAAGAAAACTGTGTCACTTCTTTAGTGACACACTAAAGTGACACACTTTATTCTTGGTTTGTCTCTCTCAGTCTCTTCAAAATATGTTTAAACCTCTCGGCTTCCTGGAGACAGAAGACAAGAAGGAAACAGGGAATTCATGGAACCACGTGAGAGGGAAATACCCTACTTTCTCCCTTTTGCTCCATTTGAAATGACTTTCACATGCCTGGTGCTCTAATGTCTAGGAAGGTGGGCTGGCGAGCACGGTGATAGCACCTGAAACAAGAGACCCTTTTAAAGAAATATTTAAACTTCCCGTTCGAGGCAGCGTGGTCTTGGGACATGACAGTCAACAGACTGACCATAAGAGAGGACGCAATAACACGACAGAAAACCAGTTCCCCAAACAGCCAAACTGAAGTTCCAAACCTCTGAATTACTGTGTCATAGTTTAAAACAATTTTGAAAAAAAGACATCACCTCCTAACACTACTAACCTAAACAATGCTTCCATTGTTTTGTGTGCTGATCTCTGCTGCATCTATGCATGCTTTTTACACAACTGGGACCAGGGCTAATACAATGATCGGTTTCCATAACGAGGGCTATCTCCTACAAATAGGAGATGAAGCCACACACAGAGCACTAGAGAAAGCAGGGTTTGGTGCTTTGAGAAGATTTTAAAATGTTGGTATTCAAATGGATACACCCTCCACTATCTGGAATGATTCATTCTTTGTAATTTCTGGATTGCCAAATTTTACTGTATTAAATCTTTCTTAGAATATTTGAAAACATTTCCGGTGTAGTTCTCTTTATATTCTTATTACATATTTCTTTGAAATATTTTAATATTCTCAGAATCTTCCTCCTACTTAGCACTGAGTCAAAAATGAAAGAGCAGTGGTGTAAGAGTAAAAGTTCCTTATCTGCAAAGTTTTTCCTTGGGCCAGAACCACTTTTGGATATTCTGAAACTAAGTAGAAGAAACAAGTCACGGCTCAGTATCCAAAATACTGTGCCCGAAGTATTTAAGTGAGGGGGCAAATGCACCATGGCACACTCGTGCACAGAGGATCTGAAAGGCAAAAGCCCAACGCTGTACACAAAAGGATATTTAGAGTTTAAGTTATACAACTGAAGTTGTAGAACATAAGAATGATTCAAATACTCTGCACAACAAACCAAATAAATCACATTACCTATCACAGACCTTAATAGACAGCACTGATTCTCTGCTTTAAACTGGGGCCGCTTCAAATCTGTAACATAAAAGTGCCACTAACTAACTTTGGTCAACAAAGGAAGTGGATCTAGCACCATCATGCCCTTCAACACAGTCCCTCTCTTACTCACCACGGTACCTCCAGTGCCTCGCACGGTGCCCGACGCTTAGGTAATTAATCAGTAAGCGTGTGCAGGGCTTGTGCAACTCTGCTGCTGGTAGAAGACACTTCCAAAATTAATTGTTTGAGAATGGCTTTTGATAGCTAGCACGACTACGTAGAAGAACCCTACATAGAGACTGCTTTGGTTATTAGAATAACAAAAAGTCCGAGTTCCCAGACGAGCCAGGTCTCCGTGCTATCACCTAAATGCACACTACCATGAACAACAAAGCGCGACTGTACCACTGGGGCAGGGGTAGGTTCCCTTTACCTCTTCAGCTCTTCCAGCTGGTTAAAAAACTCAAACAACACACGGTAGATTAGCAGGAGAAAATAAAAAAATTAATCGTAAATAAGGGGAATTCACATAAGCATTAAAATTCCAAAGACAGCAAGGTAACACTGGGTATATATAACATTTTTGAATCGAGGAGAAAAGGAGGGACAGCATTAGACTTCAGAAGTGAGAATGGGTGATTTATAGGTGGCCGAGGAAGCACGCGGCAGCCAGTTCTTGCTAGGCACTCAGCGACAATGGGGCACAACAGGGGCTGGGGCGGGGGTTATCGAGGCTAACTTGCTTGGTCTTCCTGACCAATGCTAGAGTGTAAATTCTTATAGTGATTAAGTCAAGGCTCCCTTCCTAAAGCAGGAATCTAAGAAAAAGTAGGGGGAGTAAAAAACACTTCCTGAGTTTGCTGGGCTTTAACTGACTTCACTTTGAAATGATCTGCATGCCCGGGTGGCACATTTTGGGGGTGCTCGCTCCCTACCCCCACAATACATTCTGGCAATATCGGAAAGGACGAAATGGAAGAGTGCAAAATTAGCAGATGCTTCTTTTTCCCCTGACAGTAGAAAGGAAACACTTGATGACATTGCTAAAGTAAATCATGTTTTTGGTAAATGTGTCTTTGTGTTTCAAAATGTGAGTCTAGAATTTAATACTTGGGAATAAGAAATATGTCACTACAAAGCAAATGACTCAGGAGAAAAATGTTACTACACATGTCACCCACTCAGATTGTTTTAGAAGTTAGTTTGATGGTTTGAAGCAGGCAAGCACTGAGACAGTGAGTGAACTAGTTCTGCATGAAATTCTCTCCTACAGGGCAATTATGGGGTAACTCTGATTCTGATATATTTTCAAATTTAGAGAGAAGTTGCAACAATAGTATAAGAAATTCGCCTTCACCTATCAATAGTTTCTGTTTGTCCCATTTATTTTATTCTGAATTATTTGAAAGTAAAGTGGAAACATTGAGCCATTGACCACTAAATATTTTAGTGTGTACTTTCTATTTTCAGAATAAAAAAATTTAATTTCAATGTTTAATCCTCACCTGAGGATATGCTTATGTTACCACTGGTATTTAACTAATTATTAATAAGGAAAGAGGAGCAAAGGGACTTAGACGTTGAGCTTAATATACAGGGGAGCACAAGCCTACTTGGCAGCCAGGGAGCTCCAGCTTCACACACCAGGGGACCACAGCATTGTGCTCTGCCAAGGGGGTTAACTCTCCTCCCTTCCCCTCCTCAGGTACTAGATTGCTGGGGACACAGAGGGAGAAGCTTGACCAAAGAGGCCTGTCAGTTTAACTAGGGGGTATAAATCCATCCAAAGCCCATGAAAACATGGGAAGTTCACCAGCCAATTTGAAAAAGCTTCTGGTCTTTTCTGAGCCCAAGCTAATACAAACTCAAGGACACAAAGAAGCTCTCTCTCTTTCTCTCGTTCTCACTCTCTCTCTCCCCTCCCCCCCACCCCAGGGCACCTGCACTCGCCCTATGCGCTCACACATCGTCTCTCCATAGCCATGCGGCCTCAGCAGTCACGTGGCCGACGGCCATGCGGTCTCCACATACAGGCTTCAGGAGGAAGCCTAAATACTGCAGCACAGTGATGGGCCGCAGCTGGAAACACATGCTAAGCCAGCGGGATGTAGGACTGTTCTGTACTTTATTTAATACAGGGCAGAGGCCTTCAATGCTGGCCCTGCTAAAAATAAGACTGGACCTTTTCCACGGTGAGACAGACAGAGATGGGACATTGGGAAGTCAGGAGAGGAACCCCCTTAATTTCACATCATCAATAAAGTTTACCACGGAATCCCATCCACCCATGTGGGTCTCAGGAGATTGTTTTCCATGTGGAACTGCAAGAACTTGTTTTCTACCAATAACACTTAAAGAGAGGAAGTGAGAGGCAGAGACAGGGGGAGAACATCGATGTGAGGAAGAAACATTGGTCAGCTGCCTCCCGTATACACCATGACTGAGATCAAACCTGCACCCTAGGTATGAGCTCTGACTAGTAATCAAAGCAGTAACCTTTTGGTGTACAGGATGATGCTCCAACCAACTGAGCCACTTGGCCAGGGCAAAATAAAAAATTTAATATTTATATTAGAGGGACCAAAGTCGTGCTACCCTGAAACTGCCCTTTTGGGATACTGATTTTAAGCTAGTTATTAAGAAATAAGACACAGCCTGGCTGGTGTGGATTAGTGGATTGAGTGCTGGCCTGCAAATCAAAGGGCCACCAGTTTGATTCCTAGTATAGGGCACATGCCTGGGATGCGGGCCAGGTCCCCAGTGGGGGGGCATGCGACAGGCAACCACACATTGATGCTTCTCTCCCTCTCCTTCTCCCTCCCCTTTTCTAAAAATAAATAAATAAATCTTAAAAACAAACAAACAAACAAAAAAACTGGACTCAGAAAGAATGTTTGACCCTTCCCTTTCCAGCCCAAAAGATTCAGATGGAAAGACCTGCTCCAGGAAAGAAATCTTAGT